TTCTCTTTTTGTAGCTATTTTGCCCACTAGCGGCAACAATGTGACACAATAGCTCATTTTGCATAAAACTGCCAGATAGTCATAATAATTTGGCTGCTCTGTGTATACCATATTTATCAAAGACGAAAGCTTCTAAGGAGACAAATGGGTGCACACGTTTCTCATGTTATGTTCAACATTGAAGCGAGTTCAGTTTAAAGGGTCTAAATTGTTTTTTTTCTTCTAACAAAATGCTCCATTTTTTTCCACAAAAAATGCATGTTAAGACCTGCTTTAGTTTGAGCAATTAACTCCAAGTATAGGTTAAAATTTTCAAAGTTACAGTAAAAATACTGCAACCCCTTCACTGAAAACAAAATTATTTCGTTAAAAATATATTTATTCAAAATTTTATCTTTAAATTTCTTTTTTAATTTACATTTTTCATCTAATGCACAAAACTACTTGCCTTTTAATAAACCTGTGCAGTTAAAATTTTGTAATTGGTTTAAGTGCAGCATTTTGCATAAATTCATCCTAGTACTTTTTGGAGTCAAGATAAATTTTTTCAAATAAAAATCTAAAGAATTAAGTTTGTTTTTAAATTAAAAAAATATTTTTTATTTATTCAATTTTTTAAGCTAGTATGACTTTAAAAAGATCATATTTGACTACCGATTGAAAATTCGTTTTAAGTCATTAACATGATTTTTATGCAGCTTTATCATCCATGAAAGATGTTATATAATTTAAAAAAAAATGATTAAAGCTCCTTGCATTGTTTTGCAAAAGTGTTTGCATGTTGAACTCCTGTAAAAAATGCATAATCCAAAGTTCAGTTTCAGGAAGTCGGAAAAGTTGCACATTAATGCTTCCTCGATGAAATCCACACTAACTAGACTGCAGTATTTACAAGACAACATATTATTCATCTAGAATGTGAAAATAAATATCTTGGTTCATGTTATGGATGTTTTCAGTGAAAGGACTCGATCCGTAATTCAATCCTTTATTAAAGGAAGCATTTCAGTATTCCTTTAAGGCATCTTTTTCAAATCAATTTCCACTTTGCGTTACAAAAAGAAAGAAAAAATATTCAAACCCCCTTAAAAATTTATATATAACATTTTATTCTTAGCCTCATAACTGGCCCTCTAGAAAATCAAAATGCCCTCTAAGAGCAGCGATGGCTCAGGGGATAGAGCGTTCGCCTTCCAATGAGGTGAACCGGGTTCGAATCCCAGTCGATACGAATTCCGCATCCGACCACAGTGCTGACGTGAAATATCTTTAGTGGTAGACGGATCATGTGTTAGAGTCCCCTTGCCGTCAGGCTAACCGCGGGATGTTCTCGTGGTCTTCCTCTCCATGCAACGCAAATGCGGGTTAGTTCCATCAAAAAGTCCTCCACGAAAGCAAATTTCTCCCATTACTTGATCCAGGAGTTCCTTTGTCTTCTGGATTGGATTCCGTTGTATTCAAGAACCCATAAAATTGGGTCGGATGTTCAACGACGGTTATAAAAAAATAAAAATATAATGACCCCCTAGAGATCTTCAGCGCCCCTGTTAGGAACCTGTGCTCTAAGTTGACTAATTTTTTGTCTGACGGTCTCGAGATATTTTAGATTTCTCACTCTTTTTTACGTTCTGTAGATGTATCATGCTTCGGAATGTCTTCTTATTTGGAACACATTGTCATAAAAAATGAAACGTGTTGCACGTTTTACATTATTTAATCTACTATGCTTGTGAACATCCATTAATTGGGGATGTCGAATTGATATTTTCTCCTTTTCAATGCATCGTTTTACTTACTTATAATTCCTGAAAATATTTCACTATTTTAAGGAAATACTAACTTTTTCATAAATATTTATTCATCAGAGATAACGCAGGTTTATATACTTTGATCACGCTATTATAATTTATCAATTGAGGTAGAATTCGTAAATGGAATATTTCATTTAAAATGTATCGCGCCTATTATTGAGCTTCCGAAACAAGGACGAGAGACCCTATAAAACGTACACTGTTCAATAAATGCCTATACTTGTCAGGCTTTTGCCCCATTATGTTCCAAATTGAAAATCGTTTTGAAACTTTCAAAACCAATTTCGCGAGCTATTGAAATCTGTTATAATGCTCCACTAGAAATGCTAGCACTGAATGCAATTTGTATCGTAAAACTACTTTTCAGTTGTTGCCTTTCAACAATATTATTCGAATTTATATTTTATGTGGCGTTTCAAGAAACAAACATTGGTTTATTATATAATAAATTTTATAATATTTTATAATAGTGCTCTTTTGTATTTTTTATGTGTAACTAGTTTTTTTAAAAACAATATAAAATAGTAATAAAGTAAAAAATATTTATACTATAATTGTGTTATAAATTTAGCACTATATAATGAAGAATAAAGTTAAATTGAATAAGTTTCTTGCAAGTATTACTATAATTTTAGTTCAATAATCAGGTTGCATTTTATTTGTAAATTATTAAACACTCGCTCGCAGTAAACCTTTTTTGTAAATTCAAATATTCAATGCAAAATAAAAAATTTTTTTTTAATCACCTGAGTGATAGTGGATATTTGAATAGGGTCTCTGACCAATTGGCAGCAATATTTTTGTTACATATGTAGCAATAATGACAATTCGAAAATCTTGTCAATGCAATATAAATAATCCTTTGTAGCCGGATATTTGAAAATGGTCACTTACAAATTAGTAACCATAAATTTTGAATTTATGTTATAAATTCAAAATTCATGTAGATATAAAGACGATTGAAAACTTTCGATCGTATAATAAAAAAACATCATATTTATGACATGGGTCGATGCGAGAATATTTAGAGTTGGTCATTTAGCATCTAAGAACACTGAATTTTGGAAAACTTTTTATTATGTGCCGCCATAGGGACAAACGCCCGACTTAGATTCTTTCTGTTATCGGTAAATGACAGTACAATAAGAGGCGTTTATAACTTCCTCATGATGATACGAATACATTGATTTACACTAATACCCTAATTTACACTAATCTGAGCTGGTATGATGTCAGAGGTGGACTGCAAAATGTCCGGTTTGATTTTTTTTTATTTAGGATATTGGGTGAATAAAAAATCAAATGATAACCCATGTGTGCATTCTCTTAGGACAGATAATTGCTACAAACTACTGTTTTTTTTGTATCGCTCTACTAACTACACTACCTTTAACTCCTTAACGATCTGTTAATTTTCAAGAAAACGGTCATAAAAGTGTCTATTTTGCCAAATACACGCATTTGATTAGTGCTGACATCTAGTGTAAAATAAGCTAACTATCTACAATTACCTTAAAAATGTCCTGATACTGCCATTTGGTGTGTAAAATGAGAAATAAAATGTTTTCTGGGCAAAAGAAATGAATTATTTTATTCTTATTGGAGCGTTACTACTGAACACTCCAGTCCGGACATTTCACGGGAGCGAGAAAAAGAGGGCGAAACCTCACTCCGTCATTTTCACAGGAGCGAGAAGGAAGGGGTTAAAAAGTAGCGCACTACTCTACAAACGACGGAAAAAGGTAACAACTACATTAGTTAGCGCGCTACATCCGACCACTGATCAGAAGTTATTGAGGGTTATTCGTTTATTTTTCTGCCCACTGTACAATAAAACAGTTTAGGATCTTTCAAAGAATACTTTTCAGTTTAGATGTGACGTTTCATCATCAAAAAACGATTGAAGTACAGGGTTTGGCGAAACAAATGAGCAAGGGAGAGAGCTTTAGAGTAAATATGAATGGTGTTTATGGAAGGATATTATGAATTTAAAATTCTCAGTAATTCCAAAACTCGCAAAAATATATTTAAAAAATATTTAAAAATTATCGATTTAAAACTCTTGATATTTTAACATCATTGAATCACTTTAAAGTATGTAATTCTGCACATGTATTTTGTTTACACATCTAAATTAAAAGATAGCAAAAATGTGAAAATCAAAATATGTACGAATAAATAACATAATTTTTTTTTATTAAAGGACGTAATGAGTGCGTAAACTAAAATTATCGACATCTTTAAAAATGTGAAGTTTTTCTAAAAACTTTAATTGGAAGTTGATTAAAAATGCCAAAAAAAAAAGATATATATATTTCTCAAAATCAATGTTTAAAAGTTTACGAAAATCGAAAATTTTCTATAAATTATGTATTATTACTATAAATTATGTAATATTATTGATATTTCTTTGCTGACTTATTTGATTATTATTTTTAATTGTGCATGTATTTTAAAATTTATTTAATTTTAAGACTCAATATGTATTTATAAAATTGGTGCGCACTGTACAAATAAAATAATTTTTTAAAAGTTGGATTGGGAAAAACTATTAATGGATTAAACGAATCATCTAAAAAAACTGAAGTAAAAGGATAATAAAAAAATCATTTGCTTCATTAAAGTGGAGAAGAGTTTATTTGTTTCAAGGACTCAAACACACCGCTCATTTTCAAAACAACAGCGCATAAATGTTCTACTTGTTTTTTTCCCTACAGTATATAAATGATGAACACAGTATAGTTTGTCTATGTAAATAACTCCCCTAGCCATTCGTTTGGAGTAGTGGCAGTGACTATGGTTACGAGGTTTAACTATTACAAATAGTTGTGTTGGATCATAATTTAAGGCAGGTTTTGGCTTGGGCCGGCGAGAGAAAGGGAATCAGGGGAGAAAGAAATGCCCTCTTCGAAATGCGCTATTTCTTTTATCCATAGTAGCAGACGACTTTAGATTTCGTGGAGAGGGAAGTACTTTCTGTAGACAAACTATACAAGTTGGAATCTGTTCTGCTTTCCTCATTCATGTGTTTTTTAGAGTGACCGCAGTGCTTGATTGCTTGAAGCAAATAAACTTTTCTCCAATTTAATTATGAAACGAATGAAGTAACATTAATTGAAGAGTATTTTTTTTCATGTGATATCGACACATACCAACTGATTACATAACGTCTTAAATTTTTTTTTACAGGCTCTGCTGGGGCTGAGAAGAAACTTCTGGGGCGCACCCTCACCCAACCCCAAGGCACAGAGCAATATAAAGTAAGTTCAAAAAAAGTTTTTTTCTCTGACTATTTAAGGTTTATTTTTGAAAACTAAAATTTATAATTAAATTCTTATTTTTGAAAACTAAAATTTATAATTAAATTCTTAAGTGAAAAAAGGCGAATATACACGTTTTAAAGCAGATGCCTTACTGATTTTAAATTTAAAAATCCCAGAAACAAAGAATTTTAACAGAAGGAAGTTAACTTCTACTGTGAAAGCTATAAAAATTTTATGCAAAGATTTTGTGTCTTTGTGCTAATCTGTGATATTCTAGTGCTCGAAACACTCGTTTTTCAATAGAATACATGGTTTGTACCTTCTAATACGGCACGATCCTTCGAATCACGGCTTTTCATGTTTTAACGCTAGAATCAATCACTGTAGTCATTGCTTGTTTGTAGCGCCATCTGTTAATAATATTTGTAACTAAAGTCTTGAAATATCAGTATAAAATTTTTGCAGATTTCACAATAAATATACCATTTGATGATATCTCCATCACCCTTTTTTTCTATGATTTCTAATTTTGAAATCAATAAGTCATCCGCTGGACATTCTGTNATTGACTGGCGTTTGCTTTGGTGCCTTTAATTTCTTGTGGTGCCTCTCATTTTTAAAGGCACATTAGTTATGTGCCTCTAACGCGAGAAAATAAAGGGTACATTTAGCTTGTGCCTTTTATTTAAGAGGTGCAGTTTTTAGAGTGTAGTGCTCGAAACACTCGTTTTTCAATAGAACACATGGTTTGTACCTTCTAATACGGCACGATCCTTCGAATCACGGCTTTTCATGTTTTAACGCTAGAATCAATCACTGTAGTCATTGCTTGTTTGTAGCGCCATCTGTTAATAATATTTGTAACTAAAGTCTTGAAATATCAGTATAAAATTTTTGCAGATTTCACAATAAATATACCATTTGATGATATCTCCATCACCCTTTTTTTCTATGATTTTTAATTTTGAAATCAATAAGTCATCCGCTGGACATTCTGTAACAGTTTATAAATTTTTTGTATTAAAAAAAGTTTTGAGGGAAAAAAGTGCTTACCATATTCATAATAAGTTTTAGAACAATAACTGTATAAAAGACAGGAATAAAAACGTGATATTTTGAGGTTGATTAAAAAAAATAAACATAATGAAATTTACAAATTAATAAAATTCTTGGGAATAAAATTTATGAGACTTGTGAAAGAATATAGTTTAAATAAGTTTAAAGGCGAAAGGTAAATTTGATTGTTTTAAAAATACATTTTCAATTTTTATAAATTAAAAATTTTGAGACTAATTCAAGAAATATATTAAAGTTTAAATCAACAAAAAGATTATTTCAATGCATTCCGTCATAATTTTTTTTCATTTCGAATTACTGGTCATTTGTTGTAGAATGCTCATATGTATGAAAGAATTTGAAGTAATTAAAATAAATTTTTTTTTAAAATTGTTATTTTTTGTAAACTATTAAAATGATTTATTTAAAATTTTAGATTGTAGGATTTAAAATTGTGCAGTTAGCAGGTTGTAAAAAATTTATGCATTGTAATTAAGAAAATGTTTGATTATTATGATTGAATCTATGATGAAATTGATATCTATGATAAAGACTAGAATCTAAGGGGAAATTTGTTAATGAAAAATCAATAAACATTGATTAAAACTAATTTTTTTATGAAACTGCTTTTGGGGGAGCATTTCTTAATTTTTTTTAGTTAAAATCTCATGATTTGTACAGTCCCAAATCTTTGACCGTTTTCCTGAGAAAAATTATTGGGGCTATTTATTTTTCATATTACGGCTACCCTCATACATTGAGAATAAAAAATCCTAATCCGTTGAAAAAAATTATATTTATTCAGAGAAAGTTTGTTCTTTAGGTTTGATCTTGCGCCTTAACACGACATAGGACTTTAAATGTTTTTAGAAATTATCAAGAGATTGGTTTGAAATTTTCAGTATAAGTTTAAACAATTGTTAAAAACAAATTTACAAATTTTCAAAAAGTATTTTAAAATTTAAAAAAAAATAAGCGCAATTTTCAAAAACAAGCAAAAACGTACTTGAGTATACATCTAGCTGCAGGCAAGAAAATTTAAACAAAGGGGTGTGGTCAAAACAAAAATCATGATAATTTTCTCAATTGTGTTCCGATTCAAAAAGTTTTTGTTTTAAAATGTTTAGTTAAATGGCTAGATATCAAAAATATAAAAAGTGGAAAATCGATTGTTTTGGCGAATTTTCCTTCATTTGAAAGTCCCTTGTCAACATAATCAATATTCTGTATGGATGGTCGCTTTCAATATAAAAGTAAGCAACAACCATCTTGAGCTCTTGACCTGCTCCACTTCCTGTTCGAAAGTATACAGCTGCTTACTACAGCTTATTCGGCGAGGTAATATTTTCAAACGGATAATTTTGTTTTTAATAAAAGAATTAAATTATATAATTTCTGAGCTCAAATCTACAGTATTTCATAAGATATTGATGATATGGAGTAATTCTGGTGAGATTGAAGGGAAAATTTGTTTTAGTTATTTATAGATGTATTCTTAAAAAAAAGGTGACAAGGTTGCTAGATTTAGTAATAACTCGCTTTCTAGCCAGTCCTAATTCAACCTCTTTTTACTTGCTTATTACCGTTTCTTCTTGTTGAAAGCCATGCCACCGTCATACGTTAGTGTTAGCATATTGTTCGAGCTGCGAGATTCATTTTAAAAATTATTATTTAGGTTTAANCGTGCGGGGCATTCGCTGCATACCCGCCAGGAACGGCACTGTATATACTCGAATTTCTTTTAGTAATTTCAGAAAATTATGAACACCCCCCTTGAAAAAATTCTGCGTACGCCAGTGGCGTCGTCGTGAAATGACAGGTCTTTAAACGATTCTTATAACGTTTCTTCCTTTTTAACATATATAACAAATCAGTAACAAATACACGTACAAGTCAAGTACACGTACAAATACACGTCAGTTAAGAAATCAGTTAACAAATGCACAAGAAATACTACTCAAGAGACTCTCAAAGTCAGTCAAAGTCATCAAGAGAGTCTCAAAGAGAGTCTCATGTTGCGAGCCAAATCGCTTCAAAACATACCAGAAACAGTAATCCGGAAAAAGAAGCAGTCAAGAGCTTGCAGCGCTCCCTTGTGTAAAAAACACCATCCATAGGTTAGTTAATAAATTTAAGTCGTGTCTCTTCATAAGCTTCAATTCAAATTTAAGACGTGAAAACTTGATTGATCATTTGATTAAAAATTATTAAGCGTGATTCGTTTTTTACTGGCTGACTGCGTAGGCAAAAAAAAATAGCTATCTTTTCTCCTTAGTTTGTCATACTTCATCAGATAATTCTCTTCCGTTATTGAAATAATGTAAAAAAGTTAGTTACAAATTTTATGTTAATCTTACACAGCTCAAAAAAAACATCTGCAATTACTGAAGAGTATTGAATTATTGGAAAAAATAATTACAAATACTAAATCCTATCTTTAAAATTCAATTCGAATAAGAAGTTTCATCAATATATTAGAAAATGGATTTATGCTTCCGAAACGACCAAGAAAGACTGTTACTACCCAAACGTTTTTCTTTAATCTCATACTGTGCCACAACGAGACGACAAAAATTAATTATTTAAGAAAAACTAGCCATTGATCTGAGATATCGGTTAAATAGAAATCTATGACAAGACTTTATCAACTGATTCAATAATTATGTCAGGTTTTTATTCCTTTGCTTTTTTAGCATATTAAATCACTTGAGCCGAGATGGCTCAGGGGATAGCATTCGCCTTCCAATGAGGTGAACTGCATTCGAATGCCAAAGATGGCTGGTCGATACGAATTCCGCATCCGGCTCGCACCGACCACAGTGCTCACGTAAAATAGTCTCAGTGGTTTACGGAACATGGGTTAGAATCCCCTAGCCATCAGGCTAACCATGGGAGGTTTTCATGGTTTTCCTTTCCATGTAACACAAATGCAGGTTAGTTCCTTCAAAAAGTCCTCCATTCAGGCAAACTTTCTCCTAATTCTTGATGCAGTAGTTCCCTTGTCTTCTGGATTGGGTTCAAAATTACAAGGCTATAGAGTTGAGCATTAATAGTCGTAAATCCAAGAAAGATAGGGTCGGCTGCTTAACGACGGTTAAATATATTAAATCACTTGTATTTTCAACGATGTAAATTAATATAATCGAGCCATAATTTTTTTCTTCACTAGTATTAAAAAGTAAATTATTTCTTGTATGATTACAGAAGTGAATGTAAAGCGATATAATTTTTTTAAAAAAAAAATTGAATATTTAAAAGTAAGTAAGATAGTTTATACTAAAAGTGTTCGCCAGTTTTTTGTCTAATCCCTAACGTGGTGAAGTGGAAGCACATTTCTCCAAGTTTAATTATTTTAGACGCATCACTAGTGTTTTGTTTATCTTTTGAAAAGAAGTTGATCAAAAAAATAAATAAATAAAAAACTCTATCAACCGAGTTTTTAAGTCATGTTTTTTAATGCACTGTTTTCAGCACGTTAAATCACCAGCAGTTTAAATAGAAAAGTCGCTTGATCGAAAAATCGCTTTTTCTTTGCGCTGTTATTTACAAAAAAAGAAAACTCTTCTTTAAAAAGATTACGTAAGTAAATGTTGTGCAAATTTTTTAACTCCAAATATTTGCCGAAAGAGTAAAATATTTACATTACGTTTCGCATTAGTTTTTAGCACCTCCCAATGAACAGATTTGTTTCTTTTCTTCTGCTGGTTTCATAAAGTTTAATGTAATACACTTGTTACTAAGAAGCAAAGTTTCCATGGAGATTTCGATTGTGTTTATTCAATCCAAAATCGAAATGTGTTACGTTGAGATATGCTACATAACAATAAATGGAAGAGACACTTTCAGTTTCGAAACTCTTTTAAATTTCTCATGAAATACTTAGAGAGTTAATTTGTAACTTTAGTTAATTAGTTCAAGCGATTTTTCGTACTTAGTTTCAGAAGTTTCAGGAACAGACAATAAATTAGGAAAGAAAATAAGTATTTTTGTACACAATATGCCTGAAAATAAATAGATTAATAGGCTTTTAACTTATACAGATTTCTTTTGCTGCTATTTTCAATAACTGCATAAAATTTCATAAACCAAGTTTAAATATTAATGGAGATATGAACCCTTTTATAAAAACTTAATTTTTTTGCCTTGCGTTTTTTTTTCCTATAACTATAAAAATACTTATTAAAATTTTAAAAAAAATTGGATTAATTTAAAATTAAATACAAAATTATTGCTTAAAAATTTGAGGAAAAGTTGCTTAAAACTGCGTAAGATATGAGTGATTCTTTTATACTGTGCATGCGCGGAAAAATTTAAATTCTTAATTTTTCTTAATTTTTTCTTATCTTTTTAAAAAATTTCAAAATGATAAAGGGTTTTCCACAAATTTTATTTTGTACTCTTAAGCAAGATTTATTAGAAATGACACTGGCATTGGGGAGGATCACCCCCGTAAAAAAATGTTTTCTTTTCTTGTACCATCACAGTTTGATGCCCGGAGAATTATTGTAAGGTCTTATCATTTGTTATTAATACTCGTATTTGTCTTCTGCTACAAAATAATATTTGTGAAAAACCTCTTATCATTTTGAGCTCTTTTTATGAAGTGTGAAAACTATTTAGAAAATTTGCTTGAAACTATTTAAATTCATTCAAATCAGATTGTTTTTATTAGTTGCAAAATACGATTTACTACAAAATTATGAAAAAAGTTTTTAAAAATTTTTTAGCTCATGCCCAGCATAAAAGAATTGTTTTAAATAGTCATATCTTGCGCAGTTTTTTTTAAATTAAAATTTTAAAACAATAATTTCGTTATTTAATTTTAATTGCTCCAAAAATTTTGTTTAATTTTATTGAATATTTTTAAAGTTATTGTAAAAAACGTAAGAAAATTTTTTTATCTAAAAATGTCATATTTCCATAATTATTTAAGTTAGGCTGATGAAATGTTATGCAGTTTCTACGAATTACAACTAAAGTAATCGGTACAAATTACAAGTTTATCGCTTAATTTTCTGTCATAGGGCTTGCAAAAATATTTGTTTTTTTCGTAATTTATTGTCAATCCCTGAAACCTCTGAAAGCTTTAAACTTCATTGCTAAGTATGAAAACTCGCATGAACTAATCACCACTAAAGTTACAAAATAATCCTCTAAGTCAGTGTTTCCCAAAGTGTGGTACGCGCACCCCTAGGGGTACGGGAACAGTTTAATGGGGGTACGCTTTCTTATGAGAAATATCTTGCAACAAAAGAAAATTTCAAAAAATTTTATTCAAAAACAAAGCAAGTCGTGAAAATTTGCGGTTACGCATTTTTCTGTTGGCTATTTTTTGCAGAGTTAACAGTTAATAATTAGTGGTGTCAACAGCCAGTTGTGATTTTTAACTTTTGTGGAAATTTTTATAGTAAAAAATGCATTCATTTTTTATTAGTGGTACACAACGTTGCAAAAAATTTAGAAAGGGTACACAAAAGTCATAAGTTTGGGAAACACTGCTCTAAGTACTTCTTGAGAAATTTAAAAAAAATGTTAAAAACTAAAAGTGCCTCTTCCATTATTGTAGGGTAGGGTATCTATGGCGGAGATCAATTGCGTTGAGTTTAACAATTTAGTTTACCCCAGTAGAAATTCTACCAGAATCTTTAATCGGACGTTGAGACAACCTCAACAACTACTGCCCCCTAAAAGCGAACATGAAACACGGTCGGGAATAAGGTTAATAGAGTGCTAATTTTGGCACTCAAACAGGAAAATGCAGTTGGATAAAGTAATGATTCAAACCAGGAATCGTTATCTCTCAAAAAATTGAATTTAGTTTATTGTGGTTAGCATTAGTCAAAATTCAAATAAATAGTTACAGTAGGAATTTTGCTAACAACCATATTTATTTTAGCCAAGGGTGAAATGCAAACAATAGCTACAATAGTTAATTGATATTTTTTACGTAGTTTTAAATAATAAGAACTTAATTGCGATATAATTTAAGTGTAATTTTAAGAAAAAATTAAACGGTAGTTATGAAATATTTTTTTCTTTTTCTATGTATAATTTGATTGATAAAGACAATAATATTGAAATAATGATGCACGCACAATCCGTGAATGGTGATTTAGTATCCTTACTTCAGGGAAACTAAAACTGGCAAGCAATATTTTAAATTCACTTAAGAAGTTTCACTTTAAAAGCCCAAACCTAAAATTTGTACTTGTTATCGATTTTTAACTCGATAGTGGTTTAATATTTTTTTTACGTATAAGGGATACCTAAACTAAAAGTGGGCAAGTGAAATAGCGTTAAAAATACTGTAAAGATAACAAGTTCGCCCTAAAAGAGGGTAAAAGGAATCCACCTCAGACGGTGTGTAACTGATTAACCAGTTAGAAGTGAAGCATTTAAAGTGAATGTAAAGCTGTGCTGAGAATGAGGGGAATAGTACGATTTTTAGTGGCAGAAGGTAATGGCACTTTTACTCAAACGAAGTTCTGCACAGATGTCGTGAGCCATGACTCTTCGATTATCGTCAATCCTTTCATCAACAGCAGCAATGGATATAATTGTGGTCCTAGTACTGTTTTCCCAAGGCATAGGTAGATTCGATATTGGAATATGTCCTACGTGAAACATTTTACACCATTTGTTTACAGTTGCTGTTCTAGATAGTGTTCACAGTTAACTTTCGGTGATCATGCGCTTTTTTTTATAACCGTCGTTAAACAGACGTTTACGACTATTAATGTTCAACTCCGTATTCTTGTAATTTTGAACCCAATCCAGAAGACAAGGGAACTCCTGGGTTAAGTATTGGGAGAAATTTGCCTTCGTGGAGGACTTTTTGATGGAACTAACCAGTATTTGCGTTAAATGGGGAGGAAAATCACGAAACATCATACTTGAATTAAATTCTCTTTTCAAAATGCTGGTACGAGTTGTCGTGTGTTTCTTGTTTTATATACGCCTAAGGAATTAAAATATGTACGTATGTTTTTAGGTATGAAATAATAAAAATTAAATTTCAATTTTTAAATTTTTGTAAAATGTGTTAAATGCTTTTATAATGTATAATTTCGGTTCTGTTAAGCCTAGTTCGTCTTAATATTCATTCTAAATGAATGATTCTTGCCTTACATTGTATCGTAAAAATAACTTTTCTGACTCTTATCTGCATCTTATGTTACTGTTATTATAAATTTCAACGTTACTGAAAATGAAAAATGGTGGTAGTTTCTTTACACCAAGTAGTGTAAAAGAACACTCTCCTGGCGTAATAAGGCCCCAAGAACTACGAGTTATCTATGGTGTTTCACCAAACCACTTTAGTGTAAAATAATTGCCATCATTTTTGGTGATATGATGTACTAAAATTTTTTACAGTGTAATACAAACTGATTAATTAGTTAGTTATACGCAATCTGCTACTTTTAACTCTGAATGTGGCGCTGCTATCGCTACTGTATTTCCGCCGTTAATTCATGTTTCTTCTGGGCAATGCTTGCACAATTTTTTTTATAGTATTGTAATGAAATAAAATTTATTTATAAGTAAGTCCTTTCAATTCATATTTAATCTGAATGTGCTTTTGAGGCAAAATTTAAAGCTAAATTAATAAAGGTGCAACAGTGTTAAATTTTTATTGAATTTATATAAAGCGATTTCTCTATCCATTTTCAAAGAATTTTTTTAGCAAATTCACCAAAGTGAAAGTTATTTCTTTTTATTGCATTATCCATTCATTTATATTGAATGAAATGAAGCTTCTTTTTCATCAACCGTTTTAACGGTAATGGTTTATGATGTGTTTTGATGATTTCCGCCCATTATTGAAATAATAACTTACTATACTTTAACAGTATGTAAGTTTAATATTCTGAAGTTATTCTATCATACAAACTTTTGTAAGTTAATTTCCGTAATTATTCCTTTGTTGTTCTAATTTTTTTCGATTACGGTTACAATAATTTCTATTAGTTATGATTGTTCAATGAAAACAATCTCAGACATTGATTTTTTAATTATTTTGTAAGGGCAATGTAACTTTGTTATTACATTGCCGGGGGTACACTGTAAAAACTCTGGTGTAATATCGCAAGGAATTTAATGTTGTACAGTGAGCAAGATAAAAAACCCTCTTCCTATATTTCTGACCCCCGAAATATAGTAGCAATCTGAAAAATATAGCTCCAACAGTTCGGTCAGGAGAGCAGTCCAATGTTTGGACACCTTATTTTTATGGACACCACATGTTTTTTGGACACCACATGTTTATTTTACTTTTTACATATTTCACCATATCTCGAGAGCTTTTTAAAAGAATTGAAAAATTTTTGCACACAATTTTAAAATTCTTTTATCCAAAGATAATTTCATGAAAAATATAACTTTTAATAAACATTCATTAGTTATTTTTTTTATTTCATTATAGCTGATAAATTTTGAATTGTAAGGTATATTCTTTTTTAAATTATTTTAAAGAATGCTGTTTTAAATCGGACGAATAGTTCCTGAAAAATAAGTCGTATTTTTAAAATTTGATTTCTTAGGTTCACTCAAATTTTGTATTTTGTCATTTAAAATTGTATTCTTTAAAGTGGTGTAAAATTTTTTTTTTCTCTACAATGATTTTGGCATTTTCTTGATTGTTTATTTAATTATCTCTGCTAAATTTCCTTAGTATTCCTTTCCTATTCAAGAGTGTAGACATTAGTTCGAATTCTTTTTTAAACCTTAACTATGGATAAATTTTAATTGCAATTATTTTAGTTGCTACCTTTTTTAAAAATATAATTAGTAATTTTAAAAATATAATTAGTAATTCCATAAAATGTACGGAAAAATGTCATTTAAAGAATAACTATTTTTCAAAATTACTAAAAAATTACAAAGTTATTTTCTATTTTAGGTGGCAGATTCGGAAACACTGGCGGGTATCGCTGCCCGGTTTGACACAACGCCTTCAGAACTCGCCAAGCTCAATAGACTCGCTGCCCGTATAGTCTTCCCTGGACAGGTAATAACCCAAAATTTACTTCCCTAGAAGTTCTTTCCATAACCATGGTTTGTATTAATTCTTTTTGAGATGTTTTACTTCAATATATACTCTAAAAAATTTCCTGAATGATTTAAGACCAGAATTAAATAGCATAATTATTGCTGCAAATCCTGCCTTTAATGGCTTAAAAAGATATTAAATCTGTTGCTTTTTTTTTCTAATGCCACTTGCCAACCAGCAAGTCTGCTTGATGAAACCAAGCGAATTTAAGGCAGAAGTGCATTTCTTGTTTTTCATTTGCGCCATCTATAGCCAAGAATATGACTTCAGCCGCACACACGTCACAGCCCGTTTATAGGGCGGAAACATTCATCCATTCACAAATCATAATTTTGACCTGAACCAGAGAACGATCCATCTCCAATTCATTACCACCAGAGGTATTGATTTGTTATGGGAACACGGAGGGCTTTGTGACTCGATAGATTTAACGTGCACCAGTCACCATTTACTACACGGGGAGTTTTTGGCTGGCTGTGATCGCACTCATGACCCCTTGGACATGGGCCCAACGCTCTACCATCCAGACTGTCCGGACTCTAGATTTTTAATCTAATCATATCAAGCTAAAACTTGAACATCTGCTGTGAAAGATGATCACACGCCTGACGTATGCTTTTAAGTCTGGGGTCATGATCCGAAAAACATGATTGCCTTTAAGCAATATTTGAGTAAAAAGTTTTAAGAATAATTTTAGAGTATTAGAGGTTAATGAAGAGAGGCGAAAAAGATACAATTTTGAACTTTACGATATCTTTAAAGATTACGATATCTCAAAGTTTTTGAAACTATAATGAATGTGTTGGTATGGCTTGCTGTTCGCTCGCTTGTCAACTGAGCGAATTCCCCTTATAGTTTTTGGAATCCTTAGGTAAGTGTTCGAGATAATGGTCTAAGATCAGTTGGATTGAATGTTTGGATGCGAACTTCATCGTTATTGAATAAACTGACTGGTACTACCAAAACCTAGTCTTGAAGGAAAAAGTGCATGGTTCATTCAGAAAGCCAGGACTGTTATCTAGCCACTGATGAAGATGATACATACTATAAGAAAAAGAATGTTAAATGGATTATATCTAATCTTAACTAGACAAAATTGTATGTAAAAATTCTATACAAAGGTAATTTATCCAAATTAAATAACTATAGAGAGCAATTTATCTTATGATATATTTTATAGAATTATTTCTGAGGATTAAAAAAAAGATTTTTCGTACAAAAAAATTCTTTTTATACGAAAAAACAAGATGATTTTTTTAAAAATTATTTATTATTAAATATTTAAAGAGCACTTTTTAAAGTTTGCTTTAGAATATTAAAATCTATGGCTTTAATATCATAAAATTGAACAGGAGAATAAAAGTTAAAAACACTTAATAATTTTTGTTTCGTTTTTTCGTGATCGTTATTGTTTAATCTTTTACAGTAACTATCAAGTGTTTAGCTTTGTTAGTAATTTGCTTCTTTAAGAGATAAATAAAGTACTTAAGTACTTAAGAAGACGGAAGTGACGTGTATATCATGTTTGAAGACAAAAGAAGTTTATTCAGCTATGACATAAGAGAAGTTAATATAAGGAGTGCCCTGAAATTTACGCAAGTTTTGAGTTTTATCCCGTTTTTGGAATAAAATGTCAATGGAAAGAAAAGATAAAACGACAACTGATGGTTCATTGGTACTTAAAATGAAGTGCTATACGAAAAATAGTGCACTTTTATTGATAAAATATCATTAAAACATAGTTCATAGTCATGAAATTTCCTGTTTTGGCGATAATCGAAACAAACTCAGAGTTAAAAGTGGAAAAAAAAACTGGAACTGAAATAATTTTTCTTTACAACCGATTTTCGGGGGAAGGGGGGTTGAACCAAGCTCTTATTATTCTTAATTATATACTGCTCTCTACTATATACTTTTCACGGGCAAGAAACAGTGCTATATGTCAGTGTTAACTGCTAAAAAGTTTTGATTGTCATGGATATATTTCATTTAGTAACCGTCATTGAACGGTTGACCCAATTTTTGGGTTTACGACTACTAATGTTCAACTCCGTAGTCTTGTAATTTTGAACGCAATCTAGAAGACAAGGGAACTTCTGGATCAAGTATTGGGATAAATTAGCCTTCGTAAAGGACTTTTTGATGGAACTAACCCGCATTTGCTTTACGTGGAGGGGAAAACTACGAAACCTCTCATGGTTAGCCTGGTGGCAAGGGGATCTTAACATATGATCCGTCTACCACTGATAATATTTTATGTTAGGACTGTGGACGATGCTAGCCAAAAGCGGAATTTGTATCGACCAGCCATCGCTGGGATTTGAACCCGTGTAATGGATACATTGAAAACAAGCTAGAATGGAATGTTTTTCTTACCTGTTTTTGCTATTTTCCGTATTGATATTTATTGCCTTTCAGTTTTGAATTAGCCGCCCAGATCATGTGCTTTACTGCCGTGAAACCTTTTTATTGGTTAATTTTTGTTTTATACCCATAATAATTTCTGCTCCGTTTTAAATAGCTAGTTGTATTTCAGCCATTTATGATTTTGAAAGGGATTTTTTTCCCCTTTAAGCTCCTATAATGGTTTTTTTGAAATACGCTTAGTTAAAAGCTAAAACTCAAAAAATACAAATAAATCTCACAAGTTTCGATTAAAGTCGTAAGTTTTTTTTATCGAAATTTCTTCTTGAGTGATTCCTGCCACTGCAAATGTTTCGTTTAGTTAGAATATAGTTTAGAGGAGTAACTAGGGTTTGTATCACCCTCGGATAAGTTAGTTACTTGAGCCCACTAACAATGTGTTAATTATTAAAATTATTAATTAATTAATAATAAAATAACAATTAATTAATAATAAATTAATAATTAATTAATAATAAACCAATAATTAATTAATAATAAATTAATAATTAATTAATAATAAATTAAATTAATAATTAAATTAATTAAAATTAAATTAATAATTAAAATTAAATTAATAATTAAAATTGAATTAATAATTAAAATTAAATTAATAATTAATATCTGATTAATTGCTTTTCGAGATCATTTTATGCTTTAGATCATAGGTTCCCAACGTGGGAACAATCACCTCCACTGTGGGTGGTGTTGAATATTGTGTGTGTGTGTGGGGAAGGTGCTAGCAAGATTATGGGTACTTGAGGGTTCTTGAGCAGCGGTACCCAAAAGTTGCTCCGCAGAAACCTAGGGTTCAGTGGAAGAAATACTAAATTTTTAAAACTTAATAACAGAAATAATATTTAATTAAGTATTTCATTTAAACTGAACTGTGAAATGTTGTACTAATTTTTATGCAAACACTTAGAGTAGTTTTCATCAAAATTAGAATAAGATAAGGTTCCAATGGATTGGCCATTAGGTATGCTTGCAATGCAAGAAGATAAGATAGCAGAAGAGTAATATAAAAAAAATTACAAGGCCTAAAATGGGACAAAAATATTAATAATATATTTTTTATTATAATTATTAATATATTTTGTCAGGGGGTGTTGAAAATTTTATGACCTGCATAGTAAGTGGTATCCAAAAAAGATTGGAAATCCATGTTTTAGAAAATATCAAAATTCAAATCAACCGCAATTGGTATTTTTTTGCTGCTAAATTTTGCATTGAAAAATATTTCGCAACTTTACATAATGTTTTTAAGACAACATACCTCGATAATTTCACTAATTTAACTTTGATTCGGCTTAAAATTCACAGTGTATGTTACTAATGTATATGCTACTGTGAGTGACAGAAATGAGTGGTTGTTGACTTCCTCTGGTAAATGTTGACAATCACGTAGTCGCTTTGGTAAATGTCCGAAATATTTACTTGGCCTAGTTAAGTGTCACTGCCCGGTATACATTTGCCCGGTATGCCCTACATCAATGTTTTTCAAGGTTCAGTGCAACTGCCCGGTATGCATTACATCAATGATTTTTTCTAAGGTCAAGTGCCACTGCCTAGAACGCATTTGACCGGTGCTCCGAACACTGATGTTTCTCTAAATCTATCTGCTGTTGATATTTAAATATCGAATAAATATAATAATATTAACGAATAAATGAATATCGAATCGAATATAACAAATATTTCGGACATTCAACAAAGCGACTATGTGATTGTTGACATTCATCGGTGAAAGTCGGCATTGCCCTGATTTTGGTCATTCATGGTTCATTAGAAACATACACTGTTGAATTTTGAACCGAACTATTACACTTAGATGTTTTTTTATTGCGTTTGTTGTTTGTGATTGAAGGATACTTTTCCTAAAGACATTTTTCAGTTAATATGCCGCAAAGTTGTAAAAAATAATTTAACAAAATCGACGTGCGACGCAAACTATAATATTAATAGACAACATTACAATACAAATTTTAGCCAAATCATAAACATATTTGAAAAAGTTAAGGAGCCCGTAATTACTAAATTAAATTGAAAATATTTCAAAGAAAAAAGTATTTTATTTTGGAATTTTACTTTCAATTATTTCTTCATGAATTTGGCGCACCGGAACATATGTTCCCTTTTGCCCCCCCCCCCTCCCGCCAGCACTGATATAATTACTGAACAAATGATCTAAATATTTATTGGAAAAATATAGAGTTAAGTTGATGCATATTAACTTTTGCAACAATTATTATTATTATTTTAGCTTAGGGAAAAAATTGATTTTAAAATCGTTAACAATCTGATTGATAAATATTTTTATTTAAACTATTAACTTTAAGTGTTAAACAACGCTGATGTCAAGGTAAAGAAACATTTGATAATGGAATTGAAATTAAATTTCCAATAATTAAAATTACAAGTGAAATTGAATGCAGTTTTAAATGAAAATGATATATATATATATATATATATATATATATATATACAGTCGGACTTCTATTTAATGAATTTTTCTTTGAGAACCACCTATCCCTATTTCTCAAAATATTTCAAAC